AAAAGGAGAACTTTTTCCAATAGCTTTGATGCCCGCTAAAACGCCTCGAAAGTCGTAAGAATTTTTTTTCTGAAAATAAGAAGACTCAATATTTTGGGTAGCAAAGTGCGGCTCTTTTTACTTTCTCTTTGCTTAGAACATTTTGGCTCTTTTTACTTTTTAAAATACATATTTGCTTGCTGGACATTCTCTTCCATTGTGTTGTTTTTTTATTTTATTCTTTTATATACACATACGCAAATTGAGATCAGAATATTACCCGCAATTGGAGAATGAAAATTAGCTTTCTGACTTAATGTTATTTGACGATATGATGGAACATTTGCAAAACTTGAATTTGTCTCTACAAGGAGAGAATAAAAATCTTTTTGATTTGTCGCAAATTATTTTAAGTTTTGAAGCTAAACTACGTCTTTTTATTTATGATCTCAAAAAAAGAACATTTCATCAATTTCCATGGCCAGAGAAAATATTGCACATGATTTAAAAGCAGACTTTGAAAAAAGATTTGCCGATTTGAAATTATTTAAGTGTACGTTTGCTTACTTCATAAACCCTTTTTTATGTAACATAATTGAGGATTAATTTACAATACTCCTTTTTAAGAAAAGCGCAGAAGAGTTGGAGTTTTTGGAATTAAAAGAAGATAAGGCACTAGAAATGCAACATAAAGCTTTTCTATTGCTTGAATTCCGGCAGCAAGTACCAGATTTAAAATATCCGCTGTGGAGAACAGCTGCGTTCCGTATATTTTTCAATTTTTGGTACAACGTATAACTGTGAGTCTTTGTACTCTACAATGAAATTCGTAAAGTCAAAATACCGTTCACAATTAAATAGTTGCATTCGCGTACCTGATAATTATTGAAAGTTATAAAAACGATCAGCTTTTTGTGTTCGCGTACGCAAAAAACTTGCAAAGTAGGGGTAATTGAGAGAGCAAAATGACCCTTGATTTTGAGGGAAAGCTGCTAGTTTCTGCTGGAAAAAATTTTTGCCAACTTCAATTTGCCAATAAGAAAACAGCTGATCAAAAACAGCTGGTTGATATTTACGCAAATCCCTAAATTAAATTTGAAGGTTTGGAAGTTAAAATAGTAAAATGATTTAACTGATTAAACTTGTAGGAAGTAAGTCATTATTTTTTTAGTCAGTGAACTGTGTCAGGATAAGACTTCGGGACTCGTTTTCTTACGTTTTCAATTTTATGCTTTTGAATATAAATAAAATTTGTATCAGCTGTTCGTCTAACTTGCAAGTTTTTGCAAATTTTCTGATCGCCTACTTTTTTGGATATTTTTCTCTTGTGAGAGAACAGATGACATTTCGCCAGAATTTTGTTGTTGGACCTTTTTTAGTTAAACGAACGTACCTATTGACCAACCAACATTTAACAGAACTGTTACGAACAGCTTTAACTGACGTAAAACCAGATTTTGAAAATTTGGCCATAGGGATCTTTTGAATTTTCTTTAATATCTATAAATAATATTAATAAAATTAATGTTTTTCATTTCTAATAATAATTTTATTTAAAAATAAAATTTTTGTTTTTGTTGGTTTTTGTGGCTCTTTGTGGCATTTAGAATTTACGTGTGGCTCATTTCGGCCTCGGCCTTGCCCACCCCTGATATATACATTCTGTTTTTTGATCTCAGTATCATTTTTGAAAATTTTAAAAACTTTGAAAATTAACAAAATGGCAGAAACTTTTGAACAAAAAAAAAATATTTATGAAAATCGATTTTTTTTGGTTTTTCAAAAATTTCTGATTTGAATTTCTGAATTGATTTGACAAATTTGATTTTTTCTGGGTTTTCAAAATTTTCTGCGATTTTGTCAATTTTCAAGGTTTTTAAAATTTTCAAATTTGTAAAGAAAGATCATCAAAAATACTACCCAGGTCAAAAAACAGAATGTATATATGGATAATATATGACGGTACAATACCCAAAATACTGAGTCTTCTTATTTGCAGAAAAAAAAATCAATAATTTGATTTGATGATGATTTTTCCAAATATGGCCGCCATTTGGCTAATTTTCAAAATTTCTCATATTTTCAAAATATAGAGCAGCAAAAACTCTTTCAATTAAAAAAAACCGAATTGATTTTTGAAAAAACTAGAAAGATTTGAAGAAAAATTGTCAGCCGTTTTTCCCTAAAACTACACTTTGCCCTAAAATTTTCAGATGCTCGTAACTCAGCGAATTTTTTCTTCGCAAAACAAAAAAATACGTATCTCTTTATTTGCCCCAAAAACATGAAAAATCGTATTAAACTTGATTTCGAATTTTGAACCCATTCGCCCTGCATGGATTGAAATAGAATCAGCCAGTGTATACAAGAGCATGTACACTAGCGTGGGCCTAAAATCCGCTTTTTTAGAATTTTGATTGGTAATAGCAAAAATATGGTTCATTATCATAATAAATCGTCATTATCCTAGGCTCGCCCAAAGTTCAAGTTCTAAAAATTTTTTTTTTTTTAGCTACCTTCGATTCTCTACAAAAAAGGTCCAAATACTACATTATGTAGGTCTAATACTTTCGAAGATTATTGCAATTTTAGTAAAAAAATGTATTAATTAATTTATTTATTAATTTTTATTTTTTGAGCATATTGAACTTTGATGGACTTGGGCGAGCCTAGGATATGGACCAAAAAATTCCAAATTTCACACAGATTTTTTTTAAAGCATAATGAATCATATTTTTTCTATTACCAATGAAAATTCTAAAAAAGCGGATTCTCGGCCAACGCTAATGTACACTTATGATCAGCTAATTAAGCCAGCAATATTTTGATCAATTTTGGCTATTTTTCTTTTGTTTATTTAATGTTTATTATTTTTCCATAAAAGTCGAGCTTATTATATAACAAACACCACATAAATCCACACCCCTATTGCGAATGTCGACTGGCAGTAGATAAACGACTATTAAGCGATTATCGATTATCGATGCTATTGCGAGTGTCGCTTAGTCGCTCAATTAGCGACTGTGAATACTTTTGAATCGCTCATCCTTCTATTGCTGTTTTTTAGTCGTTGGAGTTTGCGTTTATAAAATTTACATAAGAATGTGGTACTATAATGGATAAAAAGTAAGTCAATTGAACTGGAAGTTGTAAAAAATTGTGAAATATACATATGCATGTATGTGTCTGAATTACAGATCAAAAATTATAAGCAACAAAAGGCAACTTGTGCGGTTGGTCGTACTGATGCAGGAGAGTGAGGACATAGGCAAAGGAATTTCCGGAAAGAGTAGGGTAGGAAGCTCCGCTTCTATTGGAAAAGATACATATACAATATTTCTTGTGCATATAACTCCGGCTACGCCATCCACAATGTTTTTGCGCAGAACCAACATTAAAAGTTTATACAAAAAAACTGCATAATTTATTAATTGACTAGTGCTCGGAAATTTTAAATCTTTATTTTAAATTAAAGTTGAATTCTTTCAGTACACTTGTTATGTTGTTATGTTAAAGTTTTTAAACTCGGGTCACGCGTTTGGACACAAAAACCCAACATCATTGTACAAAAAACTTAACCGTACCGTATTTCTTAAACTTCCTTAAAGTTTATTAATGAGGAAAACAGCTTTTCCTGCAAATCATGTAAAGCCTAAAAACCGTGAAGCATCGGGAACGCAACTTCTATTCATAAAACTCACACATGTACATACACCTTCCAAGTCCAAGGGATCCGACGAATCTCGCAATTCCCTACTTGCTTTTGCCAACTCTACTAATCTATTAGCTTCCGCATCATCTTCCTCATCACTAAATCATATTTCAACTGTGTCCATTTTTTAAATTTTATAATAAAAGCAATTATTTTAAAAATGATGTAAATAAAACACTCAAGAAACAAATGTAAACAAACAAACAGCTGTTTACAATTCTGTCAACCATTCACAATAGTACAAATTTTTATCGATCAAGTTACACAATAGCAAAATAAAAGATGATCGACTCGATCGACAAATTTCTATTCTACTGCCAGTCGACACTCGCAATAGGGGCCCCAGATTTCAAAGCTTGTGCAAAAAATATGAAAAATCTGCAAAGTTTCAGCTAGATTTTCCACTTTTTATACAGATTTTTTTGAGTATGCAGTTTATTAGCCCATTAAATTCTAGGGTAAAAATTGTCGAATTTATTTTGTATGGAAAAAAATTTGTAATGCAGTCAGAAAAAAAATTATTAAAAATCAACGCGATTTTTTAGCAACTTAAGACTTGCACATTATTACCCTAGAATTTAATGGGTTATTAAACTGCATACTCAAATTCTAAAAAATCTGAATAAAAAGTTGAAAATGTAGCTGAAACTTTGCGGATTTTTCATAATTTTTGCATAAAATTTGAAATCTGGATTCATATGGTGTTTGTTATATAAATAATGAGCTAGATTTTTATGGAAAAATAATATCTAAACATTAAATAAACGAAAGCAAAATAGCCGAAATTTATCAAAATGTTGCTGGCTTAATTAGCTGATCACAAGTGTACATATATTTTTTCTACACTACGTGTAAGCTTCAATGGTGATTTTGTTTCCACCAAAAAATTTCGCCATTTGAGAAAAGAATGGGGCAATCCTTTTTTTTCGTTTCTAAATTAAAGGCAAAGTTGTCAGAAAATTGTGTGTTCATTTCTTAAAATGTCAAGCAAAAAAAGGCACATTCTCTGCCCTGTGAAGCTTTGTCAGGGGAGATGGTTGCCTGAAAATCAGATGGTTGTTTAAAACGACAACACTATGAAATGCGTAAGCTAGACAAGGACAAGAAGGCAAAAACATGCCTTTTTGTGGGGTTGAGTGTAACATTAAACACAATTTGCACCGGCGATTGGCAAAATTTTTTGGAAGAAACGAAATCACTATAAGTTATCAATAATATACAAATCATCGGATCATAAGATTTAAAATATTTTGGTGCTGATTTCGAAAATTTCGACCCTTATACGATTTTCCCATTCTTTTATTTTCAGACATACCAGTGCCACAATAAATTACTTTCTGACTTTGTATTTTTGGGTTCGTGCAGTTTGTTGGCAACAGGTAAGAGGTTTATAAACTTCGTAATTAATTTAATTAATTGCAATTAAGAGGGAACACATAAACATTAATCCTTAATGCACAATTGGGGTATTCGCCTAAACGTGTGAACTTATGAAACACGGAAATTTTAATAGTTTACACACCAAATATCAAGATAAAGTAAAAATCAAAAATTATATATTTTTATAAATAAATTCTCTCATACATATCTTATTTACAATCGCATCGATTATTTGCCAAAGGGAATAAATCTACATTTTTCCGACATGCAGTTCAACAGTTCCTATAAACGAATTGAAACTGCATCGAAATTGTCATATCGAAAAAAATTAACACTTAACAACAGATTGGCGCTTACACATATATTAGTGTTGGGCCGAGCTTCTCCTCCGATTTGTGGTGTGCGCCTTGATGTTGTCACACAAAGAGGAGGGACCTACAGTTTTACGCCGACTCCGAAGAGAAGCTCGGAGGTTTGCCATTTCATGCAGAGTGGCGAGCGCTGTTAAGAAAAATATGTTTCTATATTTTTTTGCGATGTTTCTTTGATCAAATCTTGAACCCAAGTACTGCGGAGTGGAAGCGCGTACCGCTTACCACCACAGCGGCCGCCAGACTTATTCGCTTTGGTAAATAACCGATTCAATAGCTTAATATTTTTGGTAACAATTATGGTAAGTTAGAGTTAAGTGTTTCTATTTCGAGTTTACACTTCGGAAGAGTTTAAATTAATTTTAAGTAATTTCTATTTATTGCTTCTTTCAAATATGAAACTAACAATAAGTATTTAAATGTTCTATAACATAAATATCGATGCCTGATTTAATATCCGCTGGCACCAAATTATTTCCACTACGGAACCATGAAATGTTGGACAAGTTAAAATCACATAGACAAATGATTTGATAAGAACCGTTTACATTTCTTAGTAAATTAATGATCATTGTCCAAATGTTTTTGGTAAGTATTTATATCGTTGCCCGGAGGTATATAAGATATTATGACTAACAATGATTTATCGTTAGAAAACTTAACATTAACGCATAATTGGTCTATCATACCATCAGCCAGATTAAGACTCATATGATTATTGGACAAGTCAGCTCCTATAGCGAGGAAGACACCACCTCCCTTTTCATGACCAGTAGCGCAATAGGCGCGATCCTTACAATAGACGTTGTAGTAGCCATCGAAGTATTCATTTGAGGATATATTGTCGTTAAACCAAGTCTCATTGATTGCAATAAAATCATAATCACGCATTGATTTGCAACGATAACACTGAGATAATTTAGTACGTATGCCTCCCATATTCTAGTAGTTCCATAATCTTATATATAAAAATAAGTGCACGTTTTTGGTGTGACCTCATAACTTGAGAACGACTTCACTGAATTCAACCAAATTTATGTGGCATATTCGATCTATCATGCAGATGGTTTATGCGAAGTTTGCTCGAATTCGGAAAAGGGGGCGTGGCACCACCCATACTTACTAAAATATTAAAATAAGTGAACGTTTTTGGTGTGATCATATAACTTGAGAACGGCTTCACCGAATTCAACCAAATTTATGCGGCATATTCGGGCTATCATGCAGATGGTTTTCGTGAAGTTTTCTTGAATTCGGAAAAGGGGGCGTGGCGCCTCTATTTTATATATAAAAATTAGTGAGTTAGCTTATAACTTGAGAACGCCTTCACCGAATTCAACGATATTTATATAGCTTATTCGGGCCATCATGCAGATATTTTATGTGGAGTTTGCCCAAATTTGGAAAAGGGGGCGTGGCATATGTATCTCTTATGTATAAAAATAAGTACACCTTTTTGGTGTGAGCTTATAACTTGAGAACGGCTTCACCGGATTCAACCAAATTTTTACCGCATATTCAGGCTATCATGCAGATGGTTTATGTGAAGTTTGCCCGAATTCGTAAAAGGGGGTGTGGCACCTCCCATACTAACTAAAATTTGTATGTTATATATCTCTTGAAATATTTGTGGTAGAGTACTGGAAGTTGGTATAGAGGTATATCAAATAATTCCATACTCATGGAGAAAATGGGCGGTATTGGAAAAGAGGGCGTGGCACCTCCCATCTTATATATAAAAAATAAGTACAAGATTTCAACCAAATTTATGCGGCATAGTCGGGCTATTATGCAGATGGTTTGTGTTAAGTTTCCCCGAATTCGGAAAAGGGGGCGTGGCACCACCCATACTAACAAAAATTTTCATTTATCTCTTGAAATATTTGTAGTAGATTACTGGAAATTGGTATAGAGACATATAAAATAATTCCATACTCATGGAGAAAAATGTGCGGTATTGGGAACGGGGGGCGTGGCACCTCCCATCTTAAATAAAAAAATAAGTGCACGAATTCTACCAAATTTAAACGGTATATTCGGACTACCATACCGATGGGTTATGTGAAGTGGGCCCGAAGTCGGTCCAGCGGTTCATGATATATGACAGTTTATGTCTGTCACATGAACCACGTATATGGTACAACAGCAGATACATGAAAAATCGAAAACATAGTGAAAAATTGTTGCTATAATGTGCTGTGTTTATTTTTTCTTCGGATAAATTAAGTCAAGTATAAACATGGCTGCAAGTTTTTCAATAGGGGTTTTGTAGAGCCAATGGAATGAAAGTCACCACAACACAACATATCTGTCATTTCATCGTATTATCGAAAAGGTGGTGTACATTAATATTCGGTCTTTCTATTTCGGACTTTGGAAAATCAACACGTGTGTTTAATATAGTTCTTAATTCATATTTCATTTTATTTATTTTTCGTCAGTTTCAATATTTTTGCACAAATTTGTTGCAGCGTTTCGTACGAAAAGTTTGAGTACACTGGAAATTTTCCATGCAGGTATTTCTCCTCATTGATTTATAGTGAACAAAACCATTGTGGAAAATTGTGGCTGTGTTGTGTTCTTTGGCTACGAATGAAGGTTTTTCAAGTGCTCTTTTACTGTCGATTGTGAATTTCATTTGATTATTTTAAAAAAAGTGCGTTTACCATACGATTTATCGAATTCGTTCCTATGCATTGAGTTTTTCGTTCGCTATTGAATAAAATGCCACGATCCAGTCGTTCAAATATAGGCCGACGTACGCGTCTTGCGAACATGATGTTATCGCAAAGAAGATCGCAAAATGTTGAGGAGCACTCCCAACAAAATGAAGTACGACGTGGACGGTATGCGCAGAATACAGCTGTAGAATCACAGCGTCCAAGAAATCCACCACGAGCCAGTCGTTAAAATATAGGTCGACGAGCGCGAGCGCGCCATGCGAACATGATGTTAACGCAAAGAAGATCGCAAAATGTTGAGGAGCACTTCCAATAAAAGGAAGTACGGCGTGCAGGGGTTTTCATTAATTTTTCAATATTTTTCAATATTTGGTGTAGAGAAGCACACCGGGGTACCGCTAGTAACTATTATATTTTTATTACTACAATGCCTTAGGTTTCCAGCTATGTGGTGGTTTTCGTCGTCCCCCCTTCCTTGTGAAAAGACTTGAACGGGCAGGCCAAACAGTGGCATTTAATAGCTTATTGTAGAGATAAGAACCGATTCCCAATTTAAAGTTCACTCTTGTTAAAGATTTCGTATCTAAGCCCTTCTTTACCAGCATATAACAAGAGATGGCTGACGACGCACAGTGTGATTTTTATCATTTTTAGGATGCTAAAATCGATGAAATTTCGCAACAGCAATGCAGATATCAACATTGTATTGGACAATAAAAATGGGCGTATTCCGCCAACTTTTTCGCCTTCACATATCCACACTTCCAAACATAAAAGCATTTGCCAGGGCGGATACAAATAAAAATAGTTTTGATTTCTTAACTTGATACATAGATGCTTTTAAATTTTATTATCAAAGTTTTTTTTTAAATGTTTAAATTAATATATGTATATTTCCATAATGTCGGACGTGACATTCGTACGACTTTAGAGTTAAATAAATCATACGAAAACGGAAGTCACTTATCAAAAAATTTGCCGTTGTGTAGCTTTTATACCGTCCTTTATAATAATAATAATAGATTGGCGCTTACACATATGTTAGTGTTTGGCCGAGCTTCTCCTGCGATTTGTGGCGTGCGCCTTGATGTTGTCACACAAAGCAGAGGGACCTACAGTTTTACGCCGACTCCGAACGGCGATTGTATTTTTATGAGAAGCTGTTTTTCATGGCAGAAATACAGTCGGAGGTTTGCCATTGCCTGCCGAGGGACGACCGCTGTTAAGAAAAAACCTTTTTCTATATTTTTTGCGATGTTGCTTTGACCAGGGTTTGAACCCAGGCGTTGCGGAGTGGAAGCGCGCACTGCTTACCACTACACTATACCGTCCTTTGGTTGCCAAAACAAATTAGGAGCGATTGGGACACAACGATTGCTTCACAACGAAGTCAAAACTTTCAAAAATCAATAAACAACAAGCAAAAAAAAACCGACTTCAACTCTCATATAAAAATATATATATATATATATCTCATGATCCACTGATCGGATCTTAACCAGATTAGTATGGGACCACCTCTGAGACACTACCTTTCCGATTATCGAAATCGGTTGACGTGGTCCAAAGTTATGCGGCAACATACATATAAAAAAAAAAAAAATACTCCGACGAACTGATAACCTCCTCTTTTTTTGGAAGTCGGGTAAAAAATACGAAATTGTATGCGTAATGGAATTCGTAATTATCAATTTCCACAAAAGCCTGTGTTTTTCATCGTTTATATAATGAAGTGGCACTGAATTTAATGAAACACACATTCGATTTTCTCTTATGCTAAGCAAATACTGGAGCGGCGAGCAAAGCGAAGATAAATGCGAGGAGGAAATAGCCATGAAACACAAGGAGTGCTGCATAACATATTGAAGAAAGAGCGAACGAACTCGTCAAAAAGCAAACAAGAATCCAAAAATAAAGGGAAAAAAAATAAAATAAAAAAAAAAAACTTTTTAATATATCACGCTTTTATAAATGGACTAAAACGTAGATAATAATATTTCTCAGTCCCT